GGCGGGCTCTGCTGTCCCGGCCCTCCCTGTCCTGCAGGCTGGGGTTGTCCTCCAGGCCGTCTAAGGCAAATATCATTCTGGTCCTTTCCGCTCCCCAAGGATAGAGTTCTTTCCCCATTCATATTTTTCATGCCTCGTCCCAGAAAAGGCTCCAAAATGCCTATATGTGTGGGCCCAGCTGGCCAGGAATTCCCAGCCTGTTCTGGTTTGGGGCGTCTCTCCCCTGACACTACGCGGCCTCTGGGGAGGGGCCCTGTGTGTTAGGGTGCAGTGCTGGTGCACTCGGGTTTGAGAAACATTTCTCCAAAGTTTAGGATAGAAGAAAGAAATTTATTTTACTTTCCCGAGTGGGAAAGGGCCAACACGGTGACATGGAGGAAGAGGAAAAGTGTTGGCAGAGAGAATCAGGTATTCAGGCTTTTCATTTAGGAATTGTAAAAAGGGGGTGAAGATGATTTATGGCTGTAGCCGAATTATTAATAACAGGGTACCATGAAGGCTGCAACCCTCCTCTCTTCTCGGCCGGCAGATAACCGCAGAAGTGGCTGTCATGTCAAAGATCTCGTCTGTGAGGCGATATGATTTTGGGCAGGCTCTGAAGCCTGAAGTTTGTCCCGTACTGCCTGTCCGGGAGCTTCTCGGGAACTCCTTCAGGCTGTAGAGACAGATTCTAAAGGGCAGCGGCTGGGGAATGTAAAGAGAGAGATTTATGTTTCTTTCTGTCTTTTCCCGGCTCTTTTCAGATGTTGGTGAAAACAGAGTCCCTGCAGGGTGCCTGTCCGTAGGGAGAGCAGAGAGCTCATGATCGATCTTTAGCTGTCATTAGCAGGATTAGATATTTTCCTGTTACTTCAGCAAGGTGCCCCTCTCACCGTGGAGGTTCACTGAGAACAGGGGCCTGTCCCAGCAGCTGCGGAGGGCGGGGACTGCCATTCTCTGGAGTGGGCGGGCTTTGGTCATCATGGTGTGTAGGCGTGGGGGTCCCCCTGTCATAGGGCCCAGGCCCTTCCCGCCTGGGGGTCCCCCTGTCATAGGGCCCAGGCCCCTCCCGCCTGGGGGTCCCCCTGTCATAGGGCCCAGGCCCCTCCTGCCTGGCTGCTCCCTGAGGAGAGAGGAGGTGGGGCACAGAGGCGCCTGGAGCTCTGTGGACCAGAGACCATGGTCTGTCAATGAACTTTGTTGTGCGTCTGCCCATTCTTATTAGAACTCTTCCTCTTCCATTTCTCTGCATGGATTTGGCCTCACCCTGGCAGCCTGGCGTAATTCTAGTCGCTGGCCTTGCTCTCAAGTTCAGGCTGAGAGGCACTGGGAGTGCAGGAAGCTCAGATAAGAGTGAGATAATTAGCCTCTTGTTGGTTTTTATGGCTCTTTTGTTATCTGGAGCCTTTGAGGAGGCCCCAGAAGGAGTGTCTGGTCACAGGAAGCATTAGACTTCCAGCCACTTCCAGACAGCAGCTGGGAGAGGCCGCCCCTGGGTGGCTGCAGGGTGGGGCAGCTGCCTAGGCGGACAGCAGGAAGAGGCAAGCGGGGAGGAGACACCCCAGCCTCATTTCTGGCCATGCTCTCTTTGCATACTTGCCTTGAGCTGCACCTTTGCTTGTGTCCTGCCTCCTCCCCTCCTTTACTCCTCTTCCCCTGTCTTGCTTCCTAGGGAACCCCTGTTCCAGTCTGGGGGGGGCCGCAGAGCTGGCATTGGGAGGCTTTACAGGCAGATCAACTCTATTCAAACTGCTGCTGTGGCACTTGCTGGCCAGGCGAGTTGGGCAGTGCGGGTGGCAGGCAGGTGATTGCTCTGTGCTGTGGACCCCCACTCCCCAGCCAGGACGCGGGACCCACGCCTGAGCTGGCTTCGTTAATATGCCCCAGGACGGGGCCCGCACTTCAGCCTCCCCGGCTATTGGTCTGCACAGCACATTTCAGATCCTCTCTGAAGCTGCCTGACCCCCCAACCCAGGGTGCCCAGCCCTGCCCGGATGTCACCTTGAGAGTTGACACAGGGCCTTCTCAGTGTTGGGGTGGGGAACCTGCAGCCTTAGGGTGAAATGTGGCCTTCTGGGTCCTTAAGTGCAGCCTTTTGACTGAATCCAAATTTTGCAGAACAAATCCTGTGATTAAAACGGATGCAGCAGAGAAAGATGAAGCATCTCTTGCCTCCTTTGGTGCTGAAAAAAAGGAGAATCTTCAAATCAGAAGGCCGCAGGTTCCCCACCCCTGCCGGGCGTTGTCCTAGTCTGTTTGGGCCACTCCAGCAAAAGGCCATAGACTGGGTTGCTTATAGACAATAGAAACTTATTCCTTACAGTTCGCAGGCTGGGAAGTCCAAGATGAAGGTGCCAGCCGATTCAGTGTCTGGTGAGGGCCCGATTCCTGGTTCATAGGTGGCCCCTTCTTGCTGTGTTCTCTCATGGTGGCAGGGGCAGGGGAGCTCTCGGGAGCCTCTTTTATTTGTAAGGGCACTAATCCCGGCATGGAGGCTCTGCTGTCCTGACCCGATCACCTCCCCAGAGGCCCCACCTCCTAATTCTGTCACTTTGGGGGTGAGGATTTCAACACATGGACTTTGGGGGGGAACACAGGCATTCAGAACCTAGCACACAGAGACTTGAACTTGTGCCTCTGACTATGTGCTGAGTGGTGCTGCTCTCCTTCCTTTTTAAAAAATGTTGGCTAAACAGGGAAGAGTTTAGGAGACTTTATGACACAGCAAGTCTGTGACGTAGGTGCATGTTTAATGGCAAATGCTTCCAAGTGGTCTGGTTGAAAGAACACATGCTCTGCAGACAGACTTAGCTCTAGATCCCAGCTCCCACCAATTAGCTGAGTGACTTTGGTTAAGTAATGGAATCTTTGTGAGCCTCAGTTTCCTTGCCTGTAGAATGGGGATAATGACATCCACCTCCTGTGTGTTCCTATGAAATTAAATGTGCAAATATATGTAAAGCAAAGCAAGCAGCGTGTGGCAGGCGCTGCAGGGTGCTTTGTGATGGTCACCGATCGTCATGGTTGTGTATCAGAGCCTGGCAGCCTGTCAAGCCAGCCTCTCTTAAGCTCAGGTCGGTTCCAGCTGGAACAGTATGGTTCTGCCTGAGCATTTCTGGGCGGCTAATTCAGCCCTTTCTGGATGTTTCTGTGTTGAGAAGGTGGCAGCTCAGGGAAGCAGCTGTTAGCGATTGGGGCAGCTCCTTGCAGCCCAGCACCCCCTTCCTGGTCCAGAACAGCCCTGTCTCCTCTGGCCTGTGCTTCCTGTCGTGGAAAGTGCTACCCCAGGACTGAAATACGCCGCCGTCCTCGCCCCGGGCGACACTGCTGGCTTCTGGTAACACGTGAGCCGAGACTTGCTCCTCCAATAGTGCAGGTGACTTAGACCGCACTGCCCAGGACAGTGGCCACTAGCTACATGGGCTGTTTAAAATTACAGTGCTTAAAATAAAAAGAAATACAATTAAGTTCCGTGGTCACACTTGAGCCGCATTTCAAGTGCTCAGTAGCCCGTGTGGCTGGTGGCCGCCGTGCTGGATGCTGGACAGCACAGGCAGAGGGCATTTGTACCATCACTGCTCTCCTCGTGACCAGGCGAGCTGGCTTCACGGCCGGGCCCTGCCACTCCCCGGGCAGCGTGGTCTTGGGCGGGTTCCTCTACGCGCCTGCACACCGCCATTGTTGGGAAGGTGAGGCAGAGGGCCTGGCGCAGGCTGTGCTCAGCAGCATGCATTCCCCCCTCTCATCCTCCTCGCCTCCCCTCTCCCCTGCCCTGTCCTGGTCTGCGTGTCCCTCCCCTCTCCCCTGTCCTGTCCTGGTCTGCGTGTCCCTACCCTCTCCCCTGCCCTGTCCTGGTCTGCGTGTCCCTACCCTCTCCCCTGCCCTGTCTTGGTCTGCGTGTCCCTCTCCTCGTCCCCTGCTAAGGGCTCAGGTGCCAGGAAGTTAAAAGCAATTCCTTGTAAACAGTGGCTGCTGTCTCGGGCAGTCTAAGGCCTCTGCCCTCTAAGTTGGCATAAGCGGTCTTTGTTTTATTTTATTTTATTTTTTGAATGTCAACTTTTAAAAAAAAGTTCATGTTGGAATAATTTTGGACGTGCAGAGAAGTGACGCGGTGCACAGAGTTCCGCACACCCCCGCCCCCAGCCTCCCCGCTGTCGACGTCTTACGTGGCCCTTGGTGCAGTTGTCCAAACTGAGAGGCCTGCGTTGGTCCCTGACCATTTCCTGACCTCCAGACTTTATGTGGATTTCACCAGTTTTCCCACTCAGGCCCATTTCCTGTTCCGGGATGCAGTGCAGGGTCCCTCATTGCACTTAACTGTCCCGTCTCCGCAGCCCTCTGGCCCGTGACAGTGTCTCGGTCTTTCCTCGGTTTCCACGGCCTGAGAGTGTTGAGGGTGAGGGCCAGGCATTTCGTAGACTGTCCCCAGTCTGGGTTTGTCTGACGTTTTTCCCGTGATTACACTGGGGTTATGGGTTTGGGGTAAGCAAAGGTGCCCGTCTCATGACATCGTATTGGGGGCATGTGGCATCCTCGAATCATCTCTGGAGAGACTCACCTTGATCTCTTGGTTAGGACTGTGTTTGCAGGTTTCTCTGCTCCGTGGTTTGCATGTCTGTTCTTTGGAAGGGGTCACTGGGTCCAGCCCATCTTCAAGGGTTGGGGGACTAAGCTCTACCTCCCACGATAGTGTTTGGAAGCGTTGCAGGTCCTTGTTTTTTTGCAAGAAGCAGGGATCCCCGACCTTCATGGGCACAGGGGACGATGGAGATCTGTGGAGTCGGCCCTGGAGGACAGACAGGCCCGTCTCACGGAGTGCTTGGTACTCACCACCGTGAACGCGTTTGATCTTTGCGCTCTTGTGAAGCAGCCGGCCGGGTCTCGTAGTGCCCTCTGAAGACGAGGACACTGAGAGGAGACGTCCTTGTCCAAGGCCACCCCCCACAGGCCCCCTCACTGCCCTGATGACCTGGCCAGGGGCTGCCAGAGGCTTCAAGGGGCTGCCGTCCCCTCCCCTGCAGCTCACCGGCGTGTCTCGGAGGGTGTCTCGGCGTGTCTCGGCACCGCAGGGTGCCGGCTGTGGTGAGCAATGGGGACGCGGTGGACGCTGCCTGCTCCGGGGTGCGGCGCTCCAGCTGGAAGCGGAAGAGCTCGCGTCGCAGTAAGTCTCCCCTGCCCCCGCCGACTGCCCGCCCCGGGCAGCGCCAGAGCAGTGCCAGGATACGGTCTCCCCTGCCCCCGCCGACTGCCCGCCCCGGGCAGCGCCAGAGCAGTGCCAGGATACGGTCTCCCCTTGACCGACCACTGCCCCCGAGAGCCGAGGCCCAGGAGTAGATGACACGTTCCACCTTTCGTCTGCTCTTCCACTGCTTACGGAGCCCCAGCGACAGGCCGGGGCGGTGGTGATGGGAGTGCCCTGGTGACCCGGGAGGGGCCCTCTGTGAGCAGGACAGACACGTAGGCAGGCAGGTGCCAAGCAGTGGTGCCTCGATGAGTCCTGCGGGCAGGGAGGGAGGGAGCAGGGGTCCCGGGCGGGGGGCCAGCTCGTGCGAGGGCCTAGCATCAGCAAGGGGATACCTGGCACCTCAGGAAGCGTCAGGGCTCCGTCGGGTGGGTCAGCATTACGGGCAAATGGGTGGGCGAATGGGGTGAGGTGGGCCTGCCATCGCCCCCGCTCCTGAGGCGCCGGAGGCCACGCTTAGGTTTCTGAAGGCAATAGGCAGCCACAGAAGGCGAGGGATGCGGCCACATTTGCCCTGCAGTCCCTTCGCTCTGGGGTGGGTGGAGCCAGCGGGGAGGCTGAGGGCCTCACCTAGGGAACTGGCCAGAGGTGGGCAGGCCTGCGGGCCCCTTTGGAGGCAGAGTCAGTGCGGGAGGAGGAAGAGGGGTCCTGTGAGGCTCTGGCTGGGCTCCAGGACTCAGGGAACATCACAGTTAGGACAGTGGGTCCATAACTTCTTCCCGGAAGGCCCGTGGGGTGAGGACAGGCTCCCATCTGGGGCAGGGGCTGGTTTCTGAATCCTGGCTCAGCTCCACGGGGGAGGGGCTCGTCCCAGGGGCCTGGGTGACTGAAGATGCTTGGGGGCCAGGGCACAGGTGCTGGGCTGCGTCATGCCGCCTGCGGGCCGTGAGCAGCTGCCCCATCAGCCAGATGGGCAGGCCTTGCCTGGGGGGGCGCGGGGGGGGGAGGTCTGTGCAGTCACCGGGAGGGCGCCTTGGAGAGCCTGGGGGGCGGGGATAAGCAGGGAAGCAGCATCCCCCGAGAGCATCTGGTGGGGCTGCGGCTGGGCCGGGCTGGCAGAGAGGCCAGGGCGCCGTGTGCCGCCTGCTGGTGCAGTCCTGGTGTCAGTGTGCACGCCTTGGCCAAGGCCGGCGCCACAGCCGCGTTGGTGTCCTGTCTCTTCCCTTTCCCTCCCAGTCGACCGGTTCACTTTCCCCGCCCTGGAAGAAGATGTGATTTATGACGACGTCCCCTGTGAGAGCCCGGATGCCCATCAGCCCGGTATAGTCTCTGCCACGTTCCTTGCTTCTCTTCTCCAGGGGTCTGGGAAGGGATGGTGGGGCCTGAGGAGGGCCGTCTCCTTCCCTTTCCTTCCGTCCCCACCCAGTGCAGTGCTCCTCCTCCTTGCCTGCAAAAACCACTGCAGTCATCCAGAGCGCTGGAGCTGGCCGGGGCAGGGTCAGGCCAGGCTGGGCAGGGCCTGGCATCACAGCAGGGCCACGCTCGGGCTGTGGGTCCTGAGCAGGTCATTTCCCCTCTCTAAGCCTCGATTCCTCCCTCGGGATGTGGGGCCATAGTCCAGGCTTCCCAGGGCTGTCGGGGAAGATTGCAGATTGTTAAACCCAAAGGGTATAGCAGATGATGCTGCAGAAAGCCCTGCACCTGCCATGGGTCGAGGACCGAGGTAGGACAGGCAGGTGGGAGATTGTGGCAGCCGGGAAGTGGGGTGGGCATGGGGCAGGTCCTGCTGGAGCACACCTGGTGGGAGAGAGGAGGGACACTGAATAACAGTTAACAGGAAGTGCCATCTTGCTCGGACACATTAGGCCAACCTGCTTTGCATCATGTATCTGCTTCAAAACTTTGATTTGGGGGATTTTGTCCTCATTGTACAGATAGGGAACTGTAGAGGCAAGGCTGGGATTTGAAGGTGGGTCATTCCAACTTCCAAGTCCAGTGCTCTGACCCCTGCCCCAGGAGGATTTGAGTGGCATTTTATGACACATAAAGCACATTGGATTCCCCTGTCCAGTCAGCCCCTGAGGTCAGCAGGGCAGGACTTATGGCTTCAGTCACTCAGAGAGGTTAAGCCACCAGCCCAGATCACATAGCCAGGATTTGAACAGATGACTCTGCTTTTTCTTGTCCTGTCTTTTCTTTCTTTTTTTTTTTCTTTTTTCTTTTTTTAGAGACAGGGTGTTGCTCTCTCTCCCAGGCTGCAGTGTAGTGGTGTCATCTTAGCTCACTGCACCTCAAACTCCTGGGCTCAAGCCATCCTCCTGCCTCAGCCTTCTGAGTAGCTGGGACCACAGGTGCCCCTCACCATGCCCAGCTAATTAAAACAATTTTTTGTAGAGATGGTGTCTTACTATGTTGCTCAGGCTAGCCTCAAACTCCTGGCCACAAGCGATCCTCCTGCCTTGGCCTCTCAAGCTGCTGGGATTATAGGCATGAGCCACTGCACCTGCTTTTTCTGCTCTACTATTCTGCCTGTTTTCAGGGGCTCTCCATCTAATGGGGGAGACACAGCCCCTGCTTTTGAGGAGCTCCTAGTCTGAGCACCTATAACCACTCTTGGGCTGCACGCGGTCCGATGGGAGAGTCACGCAGACAACATGGTAAGGCACGCGGGCCCCAGAGCCACGCCTCTGACTGCTGTTACAGGAACAGGGACAGATGGACCAATGATATGCTCGTCCCTTTAGCAGGCCTGGGATGTGCTCATAGTGCATTTTCCTGCTTACAGCTCATTTGAATGCAGGGAGGTGGGGAAATGGAATAGTTCGTTGGGAGGCAGTAGGGTTTTACAGTACTGTCCTAGAGCTGGCAGGAGGTCTGAGTGGCTGAGGGGTCTCAGTGTTGTTTAACCCCTTTGGACTGTTTTCCCACCTGAATCAAATAACCCCAATCAAATAACCCCAATCAAATAACCCCTCACACCCCCTCACCGCAGGGTCTGGGAGGATATAGCACATCCTTGCCATCCTACCTTAAAGTGGTTAGGAGCAGGTGGCCTGGCAGTTCTAGCTTTGAGCCTGCAAATTGAGGACCACCATGCCCACTTCCTGGGCAGATCCCCACCTACAGGTCTGTAAAGGGTGGAGTGAGACCCAGTTGTAACGAGCTCAGCACAGGGCCTGGCTCTGGGTGGGCACTCTGCACACAGGGTCGCTGCTGCCTGTTGCTGTTAGTGTTCTCCTGCCGAGCGTCCCAGCGCTGGCCTGCCCGGAACTGACGTGGGCTTTGCGGAAACTCAGAGATGAGGTCATCAGCCACGGTGCAGGCTGTATGTGCCAGGGGACACACACAGCCCTGGGTCCGGATCCCAGCTCTGCCATTGATTTGGGCACAGGGCTCTGTGCCTTTGGGCCTTGGCCTCTTCATATAAAACAAAAATATCCTGAACTCGCAGGTGTTTGGGAAAGGTCATGCGGAGAACTGCTTTATTTCTCTGGGTCTCAGCTGACTCATCTGTAAAACTGAGCTCTGCCTCTTTGGTCACTAGGCTTGGGGCCTCCATGGCAGTGAGAGGACAGCAGTAAAGGTCACAGCTGCTACACTCTCTGGAGGCATTACTCACTATTGTCTTTTGCTTAAAAATAACCCATGTTCTCTCCTGGTCCTGTGACCCGAGTCTCCACTCAGCCTTAGCACATCTGTTTTGTTTTTGCTAGACGATCTCCTTGCCTTTTGCCAGTGCCCCACCCCCACTAGCCTTCCTGGGGTGGAGCTGGGGGCTCAGGGTCAGTGGGACAGCACCTGTGCCCATCCAGAGCAACCACGAGTGAGCCCTCACTGCTTTTGGCTGAGTCTGTGCCACATGCCGGGCTCTTTCCTAAGAGCATCTTGGCCACGTTGTTTCCTTGCCCTGTCAGCTTACTATCACCTGCATTTTGCAGAGAGGTCGCTGATAACCAAGGCTTCTGGTCTGTGGCACAGTCGTTTCTGAGCAGATAATTTTTTTTTTTTTTCTGGAGACTGGGTCTTGCTACGTTGCCCAGGCTGGAGTGGCTATTCACAGGTGTGATCATAGTGCACTACCACAACCTCGAACTCCTGGCCTCAAGCCCTCCTCCTGCTTCAGCCTCCCAAGTTCCTGCAATTGCAAGTGGGCACCATTGCACCTGGCTGAATAGACATTTTTTTAACCCTTCCCAATGCTACATTTCTTATATGTTACAAAAGCATTTTCATCTTCATGCACTTTCTGGGGTCTGACCCCACTTTTGTGAGGTCTCCGGCTCTTCTCCAGGCGACAGATGAAGCAACGAAACCCAGAGGGATGAAAGGCCTTGCCCAAGATCTCCCAGTGACGGGGCTGAGGCTGGGACCCCTGTGCTCCAGCCTCGGGCAGAGGTTTCCCTGCTTCAGCCTTAAAGCAACATCTCACACCCCACCAGGAAGGGCCCCAAGAGTGCCCTGGCCCTGGGGACCTGTCGCTGTAGAGGAGGAGACTCTCAGCTCTTTGTCCCCACATTTTCAGTCCAAGGCATTTCCAGTGGGGTTTGGAGAAGGACCGCTCCCGGACGCTGGGGCAGGTGCGCCCCCTAACGGCCTGTCCTGGACCCACACGGGGACTCAGATATGGGGTGAGGGGTTCCTAGGAAGGGAGTGACATTTGTGATGTCCTGGGCTCTTTGCCAGCCCTTTCCTGTGCTAACACTTTTAAGGTCCCCAAAATCTCTGCTTCACCCCGAGGATGCGGTGGGCCGGAGCCAGGACTTGACCCTGGGTGTTCTCTTCTCCAGCAAAGAACTCCCAGAACGCACACTCAGGTCACAGAGAGGCAGTGCTGCCGGCAAGAGGAAATTGACACACTCCTCCTGCTGTCCCCGTTCTCTCGTGCTGCCTGTGAGGCAGGTGGTGTAGTGTCACTGCCTCCGTTCCATGGTTCGGGAAGTGCAGCTGGAGCTCCAGGGCCCCCCATGTCCCCCCCCCACCCCTTACAGAGCTTGAAGTTGGGGCTTGGTCTCGGGGCCCCGGCTCACCAGTGTCCCTGGCCGCAGGGGCGGAGAGGAGCCTGCTGTACGGGGATGTGCACCGGGACGGGGCGCCGCGGGAGGCCGAGGACCTAGGCTGGAGCTCCAGCGAGTTCGAGAGCTACAGCGAGGGCTCCGGGGAGGACGCCAAGCCGGAGGTGGAGCCCACCAAGCACCGAGTGTCCTTCCAGCCCAAGGTGAGGGGACCGGGGTGCCTCTGAGTGGGGGGAGTGGCGAGGGCCAGGCCTGAGACTCACATCTGGGTCTCAGAGACTCCTGGGAATGTGTGGCGAGAGAGGGGCAGGCAGCCCAGGTCATCCCGAAGCAGGAGGTGACACCTAGGCACTGCTGGTGGCTGTGCAGAGCCCTCCTGGCACAGGTGCCACCCACCATGGCTACAGCAGACCCTTCACAGGCTGCGATCGGGCCTCAGCACCCTCTCAACACAGTGCTCCAGGCAGCCCGACTAATTGAGCAGAGCTGGCGCTCAGATCAAATCAAATCACTTGATCCCTTTGCTCTACTGGGCGAGCCTCAGCCCAGTCCTCAGGCCACACAGTCCTCTCTGCCTAGCGCAAGTGGACAGCGGGGGCTGCCGTGGCTGAACCAGAGCGGCCTGGAAGATTCTTTCCACAGCCTCTCGTGTGCCGTCCGCACACTTGGCTTTTCTGGCGTTTCTGCCTGGAGCAGGGATCGTCCTGCCTGTTCCATGGAGACAGCCCCTGACGCTGAGAGGGCAGACCGTCTGGTTCCCCCTTTCCTGGGCGTCCTCACTCCTCCCACGTTGTTCTGTAGAAGCCACTGGAGGGCAGTCTGTCCACGCCAAGATGTGCGATTTCACGACAGCAGCTTCTCACAGGCCCTGCCCGAGCAGAGCAGCGGGGACAGGGCCCCTCTCAGGCTCCTTTTAGAAAGACACAGACAGGCAGGAGGGCTCCACCTGTGCCCCGTCCTGCCACCTGCTGGAGGCCCAGGTGGGGCTGGGATTACAGGGCCAGCTTATGTCTCGCCTGGCAGGCTTCCAAGACTCTGCGGGCACTTCCTGCCCTTTTCTGACTTTGAGGGATCCTCTCTGGGAGAGGCACGCTGGCCAGAGCAGCACCCACACCTGAGAGTCCTTTCCTCAGACCACGATGGGCTCCGCAGGTCCTGAGCAGGCTGGGGTGAGGAGATCTCACCGGGCCCTTGTCGTCCCAGGGCTGCACTATGCGCACCGGCCTTCATGGCTTGCAGGCCTGACAGCGAAGCATTCACGACACCTACTGTGCGCCTGATCCCCGTGTTCGCCTACGGGTTGGGATGCACAGAAACCAGAAGACCTGACCCAGGCTGGGCGAACCTTTATGGTCTTGGAGGAGATACCGGATGTGAAACAGTTTGTCAAAAATGAAGACAAAGATGCCTCCGTGTAAACACGAGCTTGTGTCCGGCCTGGCCACGTGCCTGACATGGGCTGCTGAGATCAGTCCAGGGAGGACTCGGAGGGGTGAGCAGGAGCTGGCCCAGCAGCCACAGGAGGTGGAAAGGTGCTCCAGGCTGGCGGAACGGCCCAGGCGAAAGCCCAGGAACGGCACCTGCTTCCACTCCGTGCAGCTCAGAAGCAGGAGCGCGCACTGCTCTGGGCAAGAGGAAGTTCTGCTATTGGTTTTGAATCCCCAAGACCCCTGGGTGGCATCTCCATATGGGCAGGACCCGTGCGTCTCAGTCCTGCTCTGGACGGTGTGACCAGATGGGACTCTTGAGTCCTGATCCAGCCTCTCAGCCTCTGGCATCCCTCCTTCTCTCCCACATCCATGGTCACTGTCCCAGGCCTCTGGCTTCTTGCTGGGGACTGGGAGGAACTGCAGGCATGTCTCAGAGGGAAGGGGGATGGAGACGCTGAATTCGGGCTCTCCAGTGCAGTCCTCAGACTCGCATGGGCGTCAGAGTCGTGTGGGTACCTGGCTGAAATCGCAGCTGCCGGGACCTCCTCCCAGGGACTCTGGTTGGGAGTTTGGGTGGAGCCTGGAAATTGGGCTTGTGACCAGCTCTCTGGCCTCAGAGGGTGCAAGGTGCCCACAGAGCACCCTAAAAAATGCTGGACTGCACCTCACCGTGGCCTGGCCCTGGGGGCTGCCTGTGAGCTTGTGTCCCTCATACCGTCAGGCTGGGGGCTTTGGACCATTTCTCAGCAGACAAAGTCCTGACCATGAGGACTCTCTCTGGCCACTACCGAGGCCAACCTGTTCCCTGACCAGCAGGCTCCCAGGCGACAGGAGCCCATGGAGGAGCTTTTCCCAGGGGGCCCACTTGTGCCCAGGAGTGCGTGCTGAGCCCTGCCCGTGGTGCGTCACGCTCCTTAGCTGCCGGGGTGCACCTGCCCACACACCTGCCACCACAGCAGCTGCATGTTCAGGGCCGCCACTGCTTGGCTGTGTGTTGCGTGTGCTGCGGGGCACTGGGCTTCGGGGGTCTGCGCAAGTGTTTTGTCCTGTCCTTAGAGTCTGGCTGTGGGCCTGGCACCCTGCCCAGCTGCAAGAGAACTGATGGAGCCCCTCCCTCAGATGTCTGGGGAGGCCAGCCCCCAGAAGGGGGACTCTTGCCAAAGACAGTGACCAAGGGGTCTGCAGAGGAAGCCCCTTAGAAGCACCTGGCCCAAACGTAAGCAGCCACTCTGTCCTGTTGTGTTAATGAGTTGTCCTGCTGGTTGCCACCCATGGCCCGTGGGAGGTTTTTTCCAGTTGTGGGATGGGCTGCCCTGACCTCTTTGACTCTGTGACAGTGACCTCTTTGTCATCGAGGTCTCTGTGATGCAGCTGGGCAGGGAACTGTGCAGAACTTGTGGGTTCATTACAGAAATGCCAGCTCTGGCTTCAGCCCTGTCCACGCCCCTGCTCTGATCTGCCGGCTCAGCAAGTGACCTCTGGTCCTAACATCTTCTCATTCTTCTGGCCCTGAGAGAGGAGAGGGATGCCAGGAGGCCCAGGGCATATGGTTTCATTGTGTTAAGCTTTTTTATAGATGAATAGAACTCAGTACAAGCCCCAAACTCTCCAGTTTTTTGGGAGTCTGGGTAATATTCAGAAGGTTCCCTGTCCTGTGTACTTCTCTTCATAAGGATACTGAACATTTGCCTGGCATTGGACAGTTTATAAAGCAGTGTCATTTAATTTTCCTAATACCCTAGAGTGGCCAGTATTACTGTCATTAAGATTCTCATTTTGTTGATCAGAAAACCTATATGAAGTTCAGAGAGGTTAAGCGATGTGGTTAGGATCACACAGCCAGTAAGTTAGTTGGTAGAGTCAGAATTCAACGTCACACATGGATGAAAATAGCTCATCCACCCATCCATCCATCCATCCACCCATCCACCCATCCACGCATCCACGCATCCACCCCTCCACCCATCCACCCATCCAACCATCCATCCATCCATCCATCCACCCACCCACCCACCCATCCAACTATCTATGTATTCAACAAATATGGAGTACTTACAATTTAAAAAATAAAATAATAATGGCTTCCATCTTTTGAGTACTTACTAAGCTCTGGGCTTTACATGTAGTGTCCATTTAATTTTCTTAACAATCCTATGAAGTAGCTCTTACTATGGCCACTTCCTTTACCAGTGAGGAAGCTGCAGTTCAGAGAGGTCAGGAGACCTTTCCAGCTAGGAGCAGGAGCCATGATTGGAATGTAGGCCTCCCTGCCTCCAGAGCTCAGACTCCCAATCCTTCTACTTGTCTCCTTCGCTGAGAGGAGCCCCTGCCTTGGTCTTCTGTATACTTTACCAAGGATCACTGTTGCTTATACAGTTCATGCATTTAACTGTCTGTTCTTCTGTTCATCCATCCATCCATCCTTTGAGCCAGTCATCTGTGTATCCCTCCATCCAGTTGCTCATCAATGGATGGATCAATTGATCCTTCCATCCATCCCTTCCTTTCTTCACTCATCTCTCTCTCCATCCATCCATCTGTTCCTCCAGTTGTGTGCTAGAGTCAGCTTGTGCCAGCTCACAAGAACTCAAGAACCAGTTGTGTGCATCTCTCTTACATCTCTCTTACAAATCCACATTCAATGATGTCACCTTGGTAGCTTGAAATTGGCCTTGGTGGGAGTATTCACGCCATGGAAATGCTGCAGGGCAGGGATCTTTTTCCTGGAGAACTGGTTGTTACGTAGTTACCAGCACAGCATTGCCTTCATCCATTCACTACCCATCCATCCTTTTCTTCCTTCATGTGACTATCTCTTCATCCATCCATCTGTTCATTTGCTCAGCTATACTGTCACCCAACCAAACGTAATCATGTGTTCACCCATTTATTTGTCCATCCATCTGTTCATCCATCCATCGAACCATGAGTCTGTCTACCCATCCATCTGTCTGTTGCCCATCCATCTGCCCAAGCATCCCTCTACCTGTTCATTCATCTTTCTATGCATTTGTCCACTCACCCATTCATTCCCTTGACCCCCACCCCCATTGCACTCATCCATCACCTGCCATCTATCCACCCATCCATCTCACAAACTTACTAAAACCTCCCATGTTACAAGCCCTGTGCTAGACTACAAGGATGAGGAAAACACACAGTCCGTATCCTCAGAACATTCTTTCCCTTCCCTGAAAGAGGGGGGCCTGGGCTTGTTACCCTACCACCTCCCCTTCCTGACATCTGGATTCCCTGCTGCAGAGACCCATCCCCCAGCCACCTGGCATGTTGGGGTTGGACACGACCGGAACAGATTCCAGGCAGGACCTGGCTGGACCGCTGCTTGGGACCTGGGCCGCCAAATCCCGCCTGCCCCAAGTCACTGTCCACCACTTCACCTGAGTCTCCTTTCTCCTCTGTTGTCTGTGTTTTGTCTCCTCCCTTTCCCGCCTGCTCCTCTCACCTGCTCTCCTTCTGCCTGGCCGCTTGGGGGCTCCAGCTTTCTCCAGACCTGACTAGGCTAAAGGAGAGATACGCCAGGACTAAGAGAGACATCTTGGCTTTGAGAGTTGGGGGGAGAGACATGCAGGAGCTGAAGCACAAGTACGATTGGAAGGTATTGTCTGTCTGTCTGTCCCTCCCACATCCTGCACGGGCCTCTTCCAGCTGAGCCACCTCCAGGGGACTTTCCTGCTGCCCTGGGGCCTCGGGGTGGGCTTGAGCCTCCAGTGCCTGCCCTTGAGTCCCAGGGCTGCCCGACACCTGGCACTTGGCCACACTTGCATCTGTGCTGGAACTGGTCGAGGCCGTAAGCCACGTATTCCCTCCGGGTTCTTGCCTGTATCTTTCCCTCCAACTGCACGTGAAAGACACCTCGTGGTCCATAAGAATTCCCGGGTGGTTCTAGGGCCCCCAGAATCAGCTGGGTGCTTCATTAAAATACAGATTCCTGAGCGCCACCCTCGGGTGCTGATTCTGTAGGTCTGGGGCAAGGCCCAGAATCTGTGCATTTAATAACCATGGTGGGTGGGTTTGGGTTGCACTTTGAAAAATGGGAGTGTCAGTGACCTGGGATGCTCCCATCCCTCCAGGCTGTTCTGAGAGATCCGGGATGAGGAAGTGTGTAGGAGAAAGCGCAGCACCCTCTTCTCAGATTGGACTCGGACTTTTGGATAATGATGATCCTGACAGTAGTAGTTTCCATTAATTGAGCACTTCCTGGGGGTCCTGGTGAAAGTCTGGGCTTTGGAGGCCTGAGGGCCTGGGTTCGAACCCCAGTCTTACCGTGTCCTCACTGTGTGATCCTGGGCAGGCCCCTTGGCCTCTCTGAGCCTCGGTTTCCTTGCCGGTGGAATGGAGCGTTAGTAGCACCAGCCCCCAGGGAGGGTGAGGGGCTCTGATGGTCAGGTCTGGCCAGTGCTCTGTGGACGGTGGCCTTTGTTGCCTTTGTGCCTGACCGTCTTGTCCCCATGGTGCCCTGGGGCAGCTGTCTCTCTGCTGTCAGAGAGCCTGAGGGGAGCCAAGTACCTGGCTGGTGGTCACACGGGGGTTCCAATTCGGGCCTGCCACATGCCAGAGCCTGGACGTTCTCCATCCTGCAGCGTGTCAGAACCTGGGGCCTCCCAGGAGGAGGAGGAGGAGGAGGAGGAAGAGAGACACTAGAGCCCGTGAGGCCCTTCCACAGACACCTCCCGCCAGGTGGTGTCTGGCAGGGTGGGCCCGCGCCCCAGGGTGGGCAGGGTTAACCCCTGAGGAAGCCGAGGCTCCCAGAGGAGCAGGGAACAAGCGCAGGGCGCAGTCTGAGACCAGGGGCCTCCCCAGGCCATGGCCCCGGCCCCACGCCTCGCGGACGGTGGGTGCAGCAGGCTGACTCAGGGACCCTTCAGGGGTGTTTGCCTTTTGCCCAGGAAGATGCCAAGAGAAGGGCCTCAGATGATCCCCCAGACACCACTTTGGGGGTTCACAGGACAGCCATGGATACTTTATGCCAGGACCGGAGCTGGGCTCTGGATCAGAGGCGTCCAGTCTCCGGGGGCGTGACCCCAGGGAAGGACGAGCATCCATGGGCAGTTTCTGGGGTCAGCATCTGTCCTTCCCACTAGATTCCCAAAGGTGTCCGTGATCACTGCCCAGGAAGGCCAAGTATGGCGGCTCTAGAACTGTACCCTGTAGATGCAGGGAGCGGCGGGAGACTTCCTTCCCTTTTCCTGCTGCTAGTGGCTTCCAGAAAGTGGGCCTTGTTCCTGAAAAGCCACCACCCCTGCCTCTCCGTGCACAGTGCCCCGCCTCCCTTCCTTTCCCAGACCTCCAGACGTGCTTGGCCCTTAAGTGGGGGACCACGGGGTTGTCAGAGGTGACAGTGAGAAGATGGGGGACCAGCCCCCCCAGATTAGCCCTCCCACCTTCTGCAGAGAGTTCTTGGAAAGAGAAAGTTTTTCTAGAGCTATGCTGTCCATTATGATAGTCATGTGGCTATTAAACTGAAGTTAGTTACGATTAAATATAATTAGGAATTGGAGTCCTAAGTCGTACCAGCACATTTCAGGTGCTCGGTGGTCACACGTGGCCAGTGGCTCCTGTGTTGGACAGTGCAGATAGAGAGTGTTTCCATCGTTGCAGGACCTTCTGTTGGCTGGTGCTGCTGCAGCTGTGTGTTGGAAAAGACGCTGGGGCTGGGGCTGGGGCTGGGGGTGGGGGGCCAGCAGCTCGCTTCTCAGGCCTGGGCTCCCCTGGCACCCAGGGTGTCTGCTTCCCCCTCCTGGGCACACGTGTCTTCCTCGAGCTCCACGTACCGCTTAGCTTGCTGTACCCATGTGCACGGATCCCCGCCATGCCAAGGGAAGCTGCATCTTGCTTTCTGGCAACTCCAGCCTTCCCTCCTTTCCCCGGGCAGTGGCTCAGTAAGAAACCTGGCTGTTTTGGGGGCAGGGCAAGGGATGGGGCTCGTCAGTTGGGTTTGGCAGTTGGGATGAGAGTATGTTCGCACCTCTTCTGAGTTGCTCTTAAAATCACATCCAGCGTTTGTACAGCACATTTTGCTGTTCAGTGCGCTTTCCCAGACCTGGGCTGTTCAGTGCACACGGCCCCTGGCATGGGTAGGTATTGCTGTTACCTTGGTTTTGTCTGAGAAAACTGAGGCTCAGTGAGATTGAGTGACCTGTCCAGCGTCATGCCACTGTGGGGTGGCAGAGCTGGGACTTGAACTGGGGTCCAGGACTCTAGGCCTCCAGCCTCCCCTAAAATTGGCTAGGGCTTCCCTTTGCCCATAAAGAGGGTTCCTGCAGGGAGACCCCCGGGGCCTGGATGTACCGTCTCACCCTCCCCCACACTGTTGTCCTTGGCCACTGCTCACTGACCTGGGAGGGAAGGGGCTGTGTGGTTTTGTCCTCTGTAGTCTGGGCCAAGGCCGGGAGGTGGGTGGCCCTTAGTGGCAGGTGTCCCAGGCCCTCCTTTGGCTTCTCTGATGCACCTCTCTGCCTTTGCTCAGATGACCCAGCTCATGAAGGCCGCCAAGAGCGGGACCAAGGATGGGCTGGAGAAGACGAGGATGGCTGTCATGCGCAAGGTCTCCTTTCTGCACAGGAAGGACGTCCTCGGTGAGGCACCGCTCGGGCCAGTAGGGTCAGGCGCCCAGCTCTAGGCTGGGGGGTGGGAGAGGGTGAGTTTTTACCCTGTCCCCCTGAGGTCATGCTGGGTGGGGGTGCCACGTGGATGTCTCGTCTCCTCTTGCAGTAGGGGTTGGGGGCAGAGTCCCAAATGCCCTTGTCCCAGCTTGCTTCCTGCTCTCTGAAAGCATGTCCTGCCTCTTCTGGGAGAGTCAGGCCTCTCCCTCAGATCCCCTGCCCTGCCTTTGTCATGGCCGTCTGGGCCTCCTGCCCCCCGAGGTCTGGCTCTCTGGGCCTCATCCTTGCACGTCTGTATTCACTGCCTCCCATAGCAATCCACCTAGCTCTCCAACCAGCCGATATTTATTGAGCACCTACTAAGTGCCACGCCTCACACTGCATGCAGGGACGCCGAGACGAATTTATCAGCCTTTCCTCCAGGGGCTGGCTCCTGGCACAGTGGGGGACACGGCACATACATGGGAAATGACAGGACAGATTGATAGGTGGCACGGCGGGGACCCTGGGGGAGCATCGAGGAAGCAAGGTGGACTTGGGTCAGGGAAGGAGGAGGAAGCCCTGGTCACCAGGCAGAGGGAGCCAGTATGTGCAAAGGCCCGTGGGTGGGAAAGTATGAGACGTTTGGGAAATGGCGTTCAGGCCAGTTAGCATTGATGGCGTATTTATCGTGTGCCGGGCACTCGCCTAAGAGCCTGCAGTTCCTCACTTACTCCTTGTCGGCACCAAACGAGGTACAGAGGACTCTGATGTTCCATGCTGCGGGAGAGGGAACAGGCATGGAGGGCTTCCGTCACTTGCCCGAGGACACACAGGGAAGGGATGGAGGCCTCATCTGGCTGCAGTGAGGGCAGGATGAGTGATCAGGGCCTGGTCGGCACGGCTGTGTGTGCCTTGTTGGGTGTTTGCCCTTGATCTTAAGGACACTGGAGGGTCATTAGAGGGTTTTAGGCAGAAGTGTCCCATGGTCAGATTTGATCCATCAATTGATCATTCCTGCAACAGGTTTTATTGAGCATCTACTACATGCTAGGAACTGTCCTAAGGCCGTGGGACAGCTGTGAACACATGTCCTTCCCAACCCTCCCCATTCCCCTGAAGCTCCCCTCAGGTGCCCACCCCTCACTCCTGGTCCCCACCAGGGCTCTGGTCTCCTCCCCCAGAGAATGCCTAGGCGGGGCCCATGGGGTGTTCCCAGGCTCGGGGGCACAGTGTCAAGGAGACCCAGCCCTTGCCTCACTGACGTCTTTTGGGGTGACAGACAAGGAGACGAGAAATGCCAGTACAGTGGGTGGAATCCTGGGGGTGCCAGTTCTCCTTGGAGGCCTTGTTTGGAGGGAGCCTGCCGCCCACCCTCAGCACACAGCCGGTGCAGCGGAAGAACATGGGCTTCAAGCCAGGGAGAGCTGTGAGAGCCTGCACCCTCTTGGACAGTTCTGTAGTTAACCCCTCTGTGCCTCAGTTTCCTCATCTGTATAGGGGGGCTAATAATGAAATCCATCCCTGGGGCCATGGTCAGGATGACTGAGGCAGTGTATGGAGAGAGCCCTGTGTGGCAGGCGTTATTCTTAGGTGGTCACTCACTCAGTGGAGGCGTTGTGCCATGATAGCCCTACACTGACCTGGTCATGTCCCAGCTCTGTGCCTCCTGGCTGTCACCTTGCATTTCGTCCCCTCCCAGAGTAGCAGGTTCCTCATCTGTAAAATGGGTTGAATCCCACCACTCCGTTCGCTTGGTGTGGTGTGTACCTGCCTGGCATAGGCTGGGTATTCAGTAAATGTCCGTGTTCTCCCCACTTCTGGGGGACCACTGGCCCCCGGTGACGGAGGGGACAGGCTGAGTGGCCATTCTAAACTTATTGGGATAGCTCTAAGAAAGGACAGCATAGCCAGGCTGGCTGTCTGGGAGTCCCTCCCGGGTCACCCTCCCCAGCCCTAGGCTGGCCTGGACTGTCCCCACCCCGCCCATTAGCCAGCTCCCTCGTAAAGTGACCCTCCCCCAGGGGTGTTATTAATAGCCAGGCAGGGCTCGAGTCACAGGCCAAGAATGTTACCCAGCGGCGCGTGGGGGAAGAGGAAGCCGCGGGGCCGGCGGCTGGGCTGGGTGCGCAGTGATGCCCGGGGCGTCATGTGGGCCAGGCAGGAGGGCCACCCCCACGCTGTTGTCCGCTGCCCCTCCTCCTCCTCCTCCTCTGTCTCCTGCTCAGGTAAGGGCCCGCCTGGGTGTCCCTGCTCCCTCTGCCCCCTGGGGTTGCTGCCACTTCTCCTTCTTCCCCAGCCTCCCCACTGCGTCCACTTCCTGCTGCCCACAGCTGCCACCGGTGTCAGAGGCACTGAGCTGCTGGGGTCACAGGTCCCTGCGCCTGTGCCTCCCCGTGTGGGGGCCAGACCCCTCCCAGGACCCTCATGCCTGCCCTCCCCTGCTGTCGTGGAGGCCTGGGGCTCCTCTGTCCCCATCCTCCATCCGAGACCCACCTGACCTGCGCCCGGGATTCCCTGTCAGACTCCAGCTGAACTTTAACTCTTTTGGGTCTTTGCATTATTTTTCAAAACAGAAAGTGCAGAGCCAAGCTGTCCCATTCGTCTCGGGGCTTGTTTTCTTCTCCCTTTCAGGCGTCCAGAAGAAAACTATTTTTAGTGCCTAGCAGTGGGGACACAGTGGCTGGCCTCCGCCAGGCTGAGCAGGGACGGAGGCTTCTGGCAGTTGATTCTGAGAGTCCAGGCCCCGTAGGATGCTGCTCTGTGCCCCTCCGTTTGCTCCCTGGCTTGCTCACCTGCTCCCACTCACTGTGTGCATTATGGGTGGGCTGTGCCAGGCCCTGGGCTGTAGCAGGGGACGCCCGAGAATGCACCAGGGAGTCGCTGTAAACCCCACGTGGCCCCAGGAGCTGCTTGTGCCCTCGGACTCAGGTCCAGGGCTGGTCTGAGGGTTTCTCAGCTCCTGGGGCCTGAGCAGACTGTGCTGTCCCCGTGTCATCAGCCCGTCTGACTTTCCAGGTGACTCTGAGGAGGAGGACATGGGGCTCCTGGAGGTCAGCGTCTCGGACATCAAGCCCCCAGCCCCGGAGCTGGGCCCCATGCCAGACGGCCTGAGCCCTCAGCAGGTCTGTGCGGGGATGGGGGCGGGCAGCCTGCTCCCTGGGGCCATGCCGGGCTGGGTCTTGAAGGGGAAGTGACCGGCTGGGTGGGGCCTCCTGGGCTCTCTTCGCAGCTGGCTGCAAGGGCGTTCCAGATTGGCCACGGCTCCACGCTGTGGTGTGGGGACGGTGGGGTCCCAGCATCTGGAGCGTGCGCCTCTCCCCATGGCAACCAGAGCAGGTGCCGGTCGCCGATTCTAACTAAGGCGCTGTGTGACAGAGGGGACCACAGTCAGGCCCCTGCCCTCGGTAAACCCGTCCTCACCTTGGGCCCAGAGCTGGGCTCTCAGCGATGTCTTCCTCCTCCCAGAGCATCTTGCCGAAGTCGGGGCGGCCCAGGCGTGTTCCCCCCGTCCCAGCCTGCATTTTGCCAACCACGAACAGGGCTGAGATCCCTGGTTCCTCTGGCTGTAAGGATGTGTCGGGGCAGCAGGATTTGCCCATTTTTTGGTTGGCAGAAAATCCTGATGTTTGGGCTTTTTTGGAAATCAGGCAGATAGAGCCATGCTGGCCCAGGTCCCTGCCGGCAGCAGCTGGCCGGAGCCGAGGAGGAGCAGCTCCCTCTTGGGCATGCGCTCTCCGGCTTACAGCGTTCCTTCCGCCTGTTTCCCTCCCTGAATGGCATTTCAGGTGGTGACGCCCCACTCTGCCCTGGCACAGCGGGGCTCTGTCAGGGAGCCTGGGGAGACCCCTGCCTCCAGCTCACAGTCTAGGCCTCCCCTCCTGGTGCTGCCTGGTGCTCTCCTCGCTGCAGCCCTGCGTGCTTCCTGGATCAGGCAATGCCAGTCACTCCGGGCCAGCAGTCAGTTCTCAACTGAGACTGATTTTTGCCTCCCAAGACACATTTGGCAAAGTCTGGAGACGTTTTTGGTGGTTGCTACTGGCGTCTGGTGGGTAGAGGCCAGGGAAGCTGCTAAAGATCCCAGGACGCATGGGACAGTCCCCACCCAGAGGAGTTATTCAGGCCCAAACGTCCAAGTGCCGAGGCTCAGAACTCTGCTCCTGGTGCCGCTTGGTTGCCCGGGGATTGTCGATAGTGCATCCAGCTGTGGGACAGCTTGCAGGACAGTGGCCTTGCCCATCTGCCAGGCCTGTGTGGGCCATGGGCAGGGCAGTGGCCAGAGATGAGACAGGTGTGCCAGAGGCGGGAGGAGGTGCCAGGGGAGCAGCGTGGGGGAGCAGGCCCTAGGGGTGTGTGATTGACTCTCAGAACACCCGTTGGGGTAGAGTAAGGGCCAGTCACCCTCCCAGCCCCGGAGCAAGGCGGACAGGCTGCCCCCTCGGACACCCCACATGTGACTCCTTTTGTGAATGACATCCCAACATTGCTGCACAATATAGAGTCACCTGGGAAGATTTAAAAGTCCCTGTATTCAGGTGGCACCCCATGCCAACTCAGAGTGTCTGGGGGGCAGCTGTAGGGTCCCTGCATGATGCCAGCGTGCAGCAGAGTTTGGGGCCACCGCTCTGCCGTATCCGGGTGGGGGAGGCTTGACTGGGTGCTAGTCAGGCTGCAGGTGGGGGTGACGGTCCCCGCAGTGGCCGTACTTCCGGAGGGGTGCTGATGCAGGCCGGGGAGAGGTCAGGATGGTGAGAGGGAAAGGAGAAGGGACTGGGGTTGTTTAGCCAGAAGCAGGGCCCGCCAGTGGGGTGGGAGGGCACCCTAAAGGGGGAGGCCATCCCTCATCATCACGTAGAGAGGCGGCGAGTCCCCAGCCCCAGGTGTGCGTGCGCTGCCAAGGGGCCTGCCCAGGGGTGTGCCCTCCTTCCCCTGCCGCAGCCTGGGCCGCATGGGCACTTCCCTCAGGCAGGCGGGGCTCTGGCGGGGAGGGCAGCCCCCGCCAGCCCTGACGGTGCTTTCTGGCCGCGCAGGTGGTGCGGAGGCACATCCTGGGCTCCATCGTACAGAGCGAAGGCAGCTACGTGGAGTCTCTGAAGCGGATACTCCAGGTGTGACTTCAGGGGGTGCCGGGGGTCTCTGGGGAGAGGGCAGGGAGGGCCCCGAGAGACACTTTACGAGGAGTGTTTGGGGACTGTGGGCAGTTTTAAGGGGAAGGGGCCAAAAGCTAGCACTGTTTCATGGGACAGTAGCCCCTCCAGATGGGGACACCAAGAACTCCCGAGGCCCTAGTGTTCACAGGAGTGACTGTTCTCTGAAATGAAATTGGGATTCTTTGAAAGGACTCGTGGAAAGTCGAGGGCATATGGCCCCGTTTGTGCCTGGAAGGGACAGGACCTTCTGTGCCACTCTGTGCACCCCTGGGGCCAGGCTGTGTCCCCCCATCATCCTGGGGCTCTTAGAGGTGGACAAGGGGTAGGGTCACCCCTGTTTCTCCCATCAGGATGCCGAGGGATTGCTGGGCAGATGCCCATGTGCCAACCTGGGCCGTAGTCTGAATCCCTGAGACGGTGACTCCTCCGGGATGCCATGGGCTATGGGAGTGAGGCCGCCAGGAGAGGGAATAGTCGGGGTGCAGGGTGCTAACACCCAGGTCTCCCCTTCCCAAGTTTGGATCCATGGAGAGGGAGCCCAGGCATCAGGCAGGTAGACTGAAAACGTCACCTGTGTCTGACAAAGCTGATTAGAGAGGCTGACGTGAGGTCTAGGAGCGAGGGAGCTCGCGGCGACCTTACCACTGTCAGGCAGGCTCAGCGACAGGCAGAGCCACGCAGGGCCAGCCTCTGGGGGGCCCCTTGCAGGCTCTCACCCCACCTCGACACAGAAGTCATGGAGGGGTTGGTTGTGGGTGGCCAAAGGGAGGCCAGGAGCACTACCATCACAGAGATCCTTCCAGAAGGGTGCATGAGGAGAGAGGGATAAGTGCCCCCACGGGAGGCCACTGTGGTCAGCCGAGTGCTGCGTGAAGGAGGGGGTGGGGGGGAGGGCATGGCCTGACCTTCGGCCTCCCCGCCCCCGCGCCCTCGGCAGGATTACCGCAACCCCCTGATGGAGATGGAGCCCAAGGCGCTGAGTGCCCGCAAGTGCCAGGTGGTGTTCTTCCGCGTGAAGGAGATCCTGCACTGCCACTCCATGTTCCAGATTGCCCTGTCCTCCCGCGTGGCTGAGTGGGACTCCACCGAGAAGATCGGGGACCTCTTTGTGGCCTCAGTAGGTGTCCCTGAACCCTTTCCCCAGCCCACCAAGGTGAAACCACAGCCTGCCCAGGGGTCATGCATTCCAGCTTCCTGCTGCTGCTGGGTCCCCTTGTCCAAGCCAGTGGGGACAGAGGGTGGCCAGGACTGTGCATCTTCTGGGTCTAAGCTGGGGTGGGTGCAGCACCTTGAGATCCTTGAGATCCTTGGAGATGTCTGCTGGGCTTTGGTACTGCGGAAGCCAGGTCGCTGTTCTGTCTCTGCCCAGGTGGCAGCCCCTCCTGGAGACTGGGTGGCCTCCTAGCCACTGGCCAGTCACCTGGCAGGTTGCAAGCTCCCTCACTATTTGAAATGCTGGCAGAGACCACAGCCTTGGCCCTAAGAGGATGCCCCACGGTGGTGGGAGAGGACCACTGGACCATGATCCAGGAGACCTGGCTCTGGGCCCTGCTGAGTTCTGCATCCTTGGGCAGGTCCAGCACCCTCTCTGAGCCGGGGTTCTCCATCTGTGGAATGAGGGGGTGCGCTGAATTCTTGGATTTTCAAACTGAAGTCTGTGAGCCATAGAGATTCATGGGGCAAGGGAGGGTCCATTTGGTGGAACTCCACTTTTGATCTGTTTTAGGTAGAGGGGATCTGCTAAAAGAAAAAAAATTAGTTTTTGAAAACCACAGCACTGGTAGATTCACTAAATAGACCTGACACCCTAGTCACTGTGTCGGGGGCTCAGGTGAGAGGGTTGGTTGACTCCAGGCACACTCCCCCCCTTGGCAACTCAACTCTGGGCACACAGCCCAGCGAGAGGCCAGGAGTGCTGGCCCTCTCCTCCCTGCACCCGGAAGGAAACCTGGGGGACAAAGGCCCCGGGGCCCTCCGTGGCATCGCCTGCTCCTACCTGGGGCCTTGGGCCAGCCTCTCCACCTCTCTGCGCCTGGTTTCCTCACCTTCATGGGGCGATGGGTGTACTCACCTCAAGGGCTTGTTGAGGTCATCCAGGCTGCGTCGTCAGCTCAGCTTGCGGTCCCAAGTGAGTGTGGGGTGCTGGCCGCCCCGCCACTCCTCTGCATCCAGGTGGCCCTCCCCGGCTCATGGCTGCACCTTGTTTCAGTTCTCCAAGTCCATGGTGCTAGACGTGTACAGCGACTATGTGAACAACTTCACCAATGCCATGTCCATCATCAAGAAGGCCTGTCTCACCAAGCCCGCGTTCCTCGAGTTCCTCAAGGTGGGCCTCGGGGGTGGCCGGGGCCCCTTCACCAGGGTGTTGGCTGGGGGTGGAGGGTAGGAAGGTTACTCAGCAGGGAGGGTTGCTTTGGCCCCAGCTTTGAGTCTCAACTCATGGCTTTGGTCTGGGCACCTCCCCTCTTTCCCCTGGGGCAGCCCCTGTCCCATGGAAGAAAATCGCTCTCTCCTGCCCGCCGGGAGGAGGGTTATAGAGTCAAAGTGTCTGTGGGCAGCTGGGGATCCTAGAGCCGTGATGGGGGGAAGAGAGATCTGTTATCTTCGACCCCAGGCCCACAAGGCCCGGGTGTGCAGGTGGGTTGGCAGGATGTGCCCGGCGGCCTCGGGCCTGCCTCAGGATGGCTGTGGCTCCGGTGTCGCTGAGCTTGTTCCTCTTCCTCATTTGTAAAAGGATCAGGAAGATTCCTCAAAGGGGTGTCTTGGGCATCCCGTGAGAGAACAGAGATGAAAGGACTCGGAAAATCTTCAGAGTCTTCGTGTAGCTGTGGCCAGGCTCCGCTGAGTTCCTTGGGGTGGGCACAGTGGGGGGGGAGGGCAGACAGAGCCTGTGCCCGGAGGGAGCCTGGGGGCTGCCGTCTGGCAGAGGGTGCAGGTGGGCCAGGTGCCAGGAGACACACAGGCAGCATGTGCCTCAGCAGGAGGAACCCACTGTCCCCGTTGAAGAGGACACTGGGTGGGGAGGGGCTTTCTCAAGGAGGTGCCATCTGACATGGCCCTGGGAGGGGGTGGTGGGATTATGACAGCCGGAGATGGAGAAGAGGGTATTTTCCAGGTACAGGGACAGTGGGGCAAAGGTCAGAGGCCGGAGGTCGGGGTGAGCAGGTCTGGCTAGACTCGGGGAGCACTGCTGCCTGTTGAGGAGCCCAGGAGGGAAGATCTCAGAGGCAGCTGGCGGTTTGGGTGGTCCTGGACCTCCAGGCCCGGGGTCTAGGATATAACATTTCAGGCCATGGGGAGCCATGGAAGAGTTTTGAGCTTGGGCAGACAGAAGTGGAGGCTGATGGAGAAGCTGTGGGGTTGCAGGGGATGAGGGCCAGGACCAAGGTGACAGGTGTGTGTGGATGGAGGGCTGAACAGATGCAAGAGACAGGACAGTCCCCCTGTGCCCTGCCCTTCACCCTGGCCGGGCCTGTGTTTAGTTTAAGTGGAGGGAATGGTTGCCTTGCTACTTCTAGAAGTCTGACCTCCTGAATAAGTTGCCGGATTCTCCAGTTGTGCATTTAGGTCAGAGACCTTAACATGACTGTGTTAGACTCCTGAGGGTGAGGGGCCGTGCAGGGGGCACCGGTGGTGGGAGGAGTCCCTAGCTGTGAAATCAGGGACCTCCCTTGGCTCTTCTCTCCAGGCCCCGAGGCTGAGCAGGGTCCTGGGGCCCGGGGAGAGGAGCCCAGGATGGGGACCATGTCTGGAGCCTGGGGCGCTGAATGACGGGACCTTGTCTCCAACAGCGGCGGCAGGTGTGCAGCCCGGACCGCGTCACCCTCTACGGGCTGATGGTGAAGCCCATCCAGAGGTTCCCACAGTTCATCCTCCTGCTTCAGGTACCACTCAAGATTCCCGCAGCTGCCACCCACAGGGTGCGGCCTGGGCTGGTGGGGGCTCCTGGTGTGGGAAGGAGGAGGCCTGGGGTCTTGTAACCTGCAACCACCCCAGCTGCTTGGGGCTCTGGCCTCATCTTTCCTCCACTCTCGGGGTGGCACTGATCACCATCAGCAGCTTGTTTTGCAGCCACCCCCTTGAGCAATGCTGACTGGCTGGTGGGGCATGAGCCCGGGATTCGGGAAGGGATTGAAGGGGTGTGGAATCCCGGGACCCGCAGGGCTCCCGGCACAGAGGAGCTGCTCAGTGAACCAACATACTCTGGGGGCTCAGGTTTCAGCTTGAGGGTGGTTCAGGATGCCGAGGGCACGCTAGTCCCACACAGGGACCCGAGAACTCAGGACATTGCCCTGATTGCCAAGGGTCCTAAGAGGGTGTCTCCCACTAGGGAGCTGAGAGGGTGGCCGCCAGGCTGAGGGGTCCAGCGGCAGTTTCCTGTCTGTCCTCAGAGCTGCCAGGCTGTGGGAGTGGGCTCTGATGTAAGCACACCCCTTATCAATTCATCAGCGATTGATCGTGCTTTTATTTATTTAGTATCTTCGTAACCATTGTTAAGTGTGCAGTTCAGTGGTATTAAGTACATTCACATTGTTGTGCAGCCATTACCACCATCTGTCCTAGAACTTTTTTATCTTCCCCAACTGACAGTCTACCCATTTAGCAACTCCCCCTCCCCTCCCACCGCTCTGACTACTCTCAGTCCCTCATGTAAGTAGAACCATGCAATATTTGTCTTTTTGTGACTGGCTTATTTCACTCAACATAATATCCTCGTCCATCTTGTAATGTGTTCATCCGTGTTGTAACATGTGTTCATCCGTGTTGTAACGTCAGAATTTCCTTCTTTTTTTTTTAACCTATTATTTCTTTGTAATTTTTTTAAAAAATTGGTACTGATCCCAATGCACCTTTGCAAAGCCATTCTGATGAAATAATTTTGTCCTGTTAGCATATTTTTTAACAACAAATGAAAAAGTTTTTCATCAAGTTTTCATCAAAAGTTTTCAAAAGTTTTCATCACGTTTTTCTCTTGCATAAGCAGTGGAGCATGTTGCATAGGCTCTGGAGTTGGTTCCTGGACGGTCGTAGTTCCACTTGACTTCTGGCCTTCTCCTCCAAGCTATGACTTTCTTGTCAAGTAGAGATAAGAATAATACATCCTTTTGGTGTGCAGAATTAGCCTTTGCCTAATAAGCAAAAGATATATAAGAAAATAGAGCAAAAATTTATGTATGGAGAACATTCTCTGTACTCTGTGCTTTAGGTGTTCTATCTCATTTCCTTCCTTTTTTAAAGACTGATTAATACTCATGTGGACAGACTGCATTTTGCTTACTTATTCATCCGCCGGTGGATGGATTGCCTCCACATTTTGGCTGTTGTGATTCATGCTTCCATGAATGTGGGTGGACAAATATCTCTTTGAGACCCTGCTTTCAGTTCTTTTGGGGATATTTCCAGAAAGATCCACACATTGTTCCCCCTCCCCCCATTCGTCGGCTGTTTCTTGAGGTCACATTCTGAGTCTGGTACCGTCTGGCCTGGCTGCAATGCTGGACCCTTCCCAGAGCTGCAGCGTGTAGGGGATTTGCAGGCTGAGGCTTTGCCCCAGGCCGGGGAGCGTCCCCCGTGGGGCGGGCTTCTCACCCTCTGCTCTCTGGCCTGCAGGACATGCTGAAGAACACCCCGAGGGGCCACCCCGACAGGCTGTCGCTGCAGCTGGCCCTCACAGAGCTGGAGACGCTGGCCGAGAAGCTGAACGAGCAGAAGCGGCTGGCCGACCAGGTGGCCGAGATCCAGCAGCTGACCAAGAGCGTCAGTGACCGGAGCAGCCTCAACAAGGTGAGCACAGGTGCCTCCCACCTGCCTGCCCGCACCTGCTCTGCGTCCATCCTCACCTGTGCTCATGCCGCCTGCCCCGCGGCCACCCACCAGGTGGCGCTGTTCTCTGAGGAGGGGAGCCCTTGCTTTTCCAGGCCCTCAGACCCAACCTTGAGGATTGGGTTCTGGACTGGACTCATGCTCATTACTGTTCATGTTATTTTAGGATAAACGCTGATTTTGCTCATCAGTGTAATTTTCAGTAAAGACACCAGAAATGATGGCCTAGTATTGTGGTTGTACAAGTGGCCTCTGAGCAGCATCTGGGTGTAAGTCCAGATTTTGCCATGATACTTGCCGTGTGGCCTCAGGGGAACTCACCCAACCTCTCTGAACCCCACTTGTTCCCTCTGAAATGAGGAGTGTTCAGTAGCAGCTGGTCCCCAGGGCTGCTGCAAGGAGAATGAAGGAGCCGGCAAAGCAACATCCTGAGAGTTCTTAATGGAAGCAGAAAGATGAAAAATCTATGCCACATTCTGGGGTTGCAGCTTAGGAACATTCTAGGGAAACCATCTTGAAAGACTTGCAAATGAGTCCATAGAGCATCCATTTTGAAGCACATGGTCACTCCCCAAGTCCCCTGTTGGTCACTGGAGTCCCTCTGTTTCCCTAGCAGCACACAACACGAGACGCCTGTAGCTGCACCTGGATCTCTGGGAGGTCCAGCCCCCCTTCCCCTGCTCACCATTGCAGGGTGGAGGCGGCCGGGATGGTTCAGGGTGGCCACCCTGCCCTGGCGTATTGCAGGACTGCTTTGTGGAGAAGGGACACTGTATGGAGTCATAGGGAAAGGTTCAAAGCTTCTGGGGAAAAAACTGGGAGCCCTTTTGGCCTTGTGGGGTCCCAAACGCAGAGTGAAGGCTAGCGGCTGGCAGCTCCGGGGGCCGGGGGGTGCTATTTCAGCGGCGTGGGGAGGATCTTTCTAATGGTCCAGGGAGGACTGCCAGGAGAGGTGGCAGCCCTTTCCATGTGCACTGCCCTTTACAGTATAGCAGCTGCTCTGACCTGCCTTACCATCTTTGATCTTCATGACAGCCCTGAGGAGTGGGGCTGGGACACGGTCACCTGCAAGGTGACGTGCTAAACTTCGGAGGTCCCACATGTTGGGCCTCTTCTGTCTCAGGCTAATCTCAGGCTACAGGTGTATTTTGCGGCCCATGTAATATTTTCAAGAACATAGAAGTGGTTGCCAACATTTAAAAATAGATGTCCTATAAAATTCAGACTTGTGGGTCTTTTGGAAGGGTTGGAAGAGCTGGTATGCTGGCCCTCCTTCCTGCGTGACACTGGTCACCTGAGTAGTGGCTGTCCACTTCCCCTCATCCTTGCCTATCTCTTCCCACCGACGCTACCTGCTGGTGCTGAAGGCTTCTGGGTTTGATCACCTGCTCCAGGTGGATAGGGCTTGGGAAGACAAGGCGGGCAGGGGACAGAGCCCTCTCCTGGGGGATGTCCCCAACCAGGACTGCTGGGGGGGCATTAGTGAGGGGGGAGGTCATTCCCCCACCCCCTGCCTCCAGGCAGGACTAACTCAGCTGTCCCCTACAAGCTTCCTAGTTTGGAATGTGACTGGAGAAAAAGGCTTCAGCCCAACCATGGCCACCTGTGCTGGCCTTTGCACTTGGGAAGTGTCTCCTTCTGCCCCGCCCTCGGTTCCCTGTGCTGTGACCAGGAGGCTGTCTTTCTTTCTCTTGCTGTGGCTCGTACATCCGTGCAGCTGCAGTGGGAAGACGCCACGGGCAGAAGGAAATAAATCCTGTAGCGTTTGCCCTGGGAAGGGCTGTCCTGTTCTCCGTAGCTCTGTCCCGCGGAGGCCGGGGCAGCAGAGTGTGGTGGGCACTGGCTGGAGGTCAGGGTGGCCTGCTTGATGTCTGGCAGGGGACCAGAGGCTCCGAGCCTCAGTTTCTCTGTCTGTCAAGTGGGGCTGAGTTGGATACGTGTGGGATGTTGAGAAGAGTGTGCTCCCTCTCCAGGGCCCTCCTTGGGCAGTCCTGGCCAGTCCTGAAACCTGTGCAGTAATGTCCCTGTCACCATCACCCAGGGGGAAGCAGAAACGAAACTGAGTGTGGCCCCAAACGGAACCATGCCAGCTATTTCAAAATGGCCTACTCAGGAGCCTCCCGGGGGATGTTTGTGCAATATCCGGGTTTTCTTTTTCTTTTGTTTTTTTAAATCAGCTCAAGGGGCAGGGGATGATTGCCTGAGCCCAGGGGACTTTCCTCTTTCAAGTCGTGGGTTATGTCACACTTGGCAGCCTTCCGTGGGGGCCCTGCTGTCTTCGGAGTCCCAGTAGTGTTTTCACGAGCTGCTCTCGGCTCGTTTATGGAAATACTGGGGGGGATCCCAGCCTTCGTGGCATGGGGGACCCCTGGGGATCTCTGAGTCCTCCTGTGTGTTAGGACCAGCAGGTCCTCCCCGGCTCCTGTCATACTGTGCGCTGGCTGCACGGTGCAGGGGACAGTGGGCGTGGCTTGGCTCTATCCTGTACCATCTGTCATTTCATCAGGGCTTGTCTTGGAATCTCAGTTTGCTCATCTGGGAAATGGGGATTGCCTGACGGGATGGCGGAGCCAACACAACAAAATGTGGAGTGCGGAGTGTCACCTGCAGGACCCAGTGCACGGCAGGCATCTCGCCCCACTGGGACTCTGGTTGTGTGTTGACTTGAGCGATGTGCTTCTTTGGAGAGTGGCAGCATCCTCTCCAGGCGGGCTTGGCGTGATCTGTCCCTCTGCCAGCCAGGGTGGGGAAGGGAGGGAGAAGTAGTGGTTGTCATCAGAGTCACAGGTTTGGGGAATGAATTTCGCTGAATAGCCCTCCCCGGGAAAAAAGTCCCTGTTAGGAAAAAGGATGTTTTCCCATTGGCTCCCGGGATGGGTTGGTGGTCCCTGTGCCAGCAGAAGGGTCTCAGTGTCAACCGTGAGATTGGCAAATGCCTGCTCGACGCCTTGGGCTTGAGTCTTGGCCTTCTCAGAGGGGGCACTGTTGACCGGCAGGTCCGTTCCAACCCGTCCAAGAGGCGAGAGGGGCCAAAGCTTTCAACTGGTCAGGGTGCGGTGCCGGGACTGACTCCTGGGCCAGGTGTCCCCTGCCCAAGGACAACCCTCTCCATGTCAGCGACCATCACAGACAGTGGCTGTCTTTGGAGCTCCTGTTGCGTGCCACCTGCAGGGCTGGCCTCAAGGGCCCATGACCTGTGCGGTCACACACAGCCCGTGCGCAGAAGGGCCCCACGCTTGGTTTAGTGTTCTGCTGTGGCTGTCTTGAAATCTGCTAATAGCTTTCGAATGAGGGCCTTCACATTTATTTTGCACTGGGCTCTGAAAATCGTGAAGTCAGACCCAGTCATGCGTTGGTTACCTCGTGTGATTTCAGCAGTAGAGCAATGACCATTGCACCCACTTGACAGCTGAGGAAACTGAGGCTTGGGTGGGTGAAGTGACCTGCCCGAGGGCTGTACCACTGGGGATTGGGGCTGGGGTGGAGCTGGTGTCTGTGACTCCAGAGCTGTGTCCTTGGCCGTGGTGGTCATGCAGGATCATCACAGGGGGTGGCTGGCAATGGCTGGCTCACCTGAGATGGGGGGTGCTGGCCGCTGGGCCCGGTGGGTGCAAGGGTGGGTGGTCAGGCTCCCCAGAGTGCAGAGCCCCGCGAGTGTTTCTCTTCTTCCCCAGTGCATCTCCTCCCCCAGGGCTGGAGGAGGAGCCCCACCTCCTCCTCTGCTCCCCCCAGCCTGGGTCTCCCTTTGCACCGTGGGAGAACCTGGGCCTTTGTCAGGGTAAAGCCACCTGGGTTGTGATGCTGACCTCCCCTGCCCCCTTCCCCAGCTGCTGACCTCGGGCCAGCGGCAGCTGCTCCTGTGTGAGACATTGACCGAGACCGTGTACGGTGACCGAGGGCAGCTGATCAAGTCCAAGGAGCGCAGGGTCTTCCTGCTCAATGACATGCTGGTCTGTGCCAACATCAACTTCAAGTAAGTGGGCCCGAGCTGGGGCTGGGTTGGGGGAGACCCTGGAGACCCCGTCCTGCCCTACCCCCGTCTCTCGGCCGGCTGCTCTGTGGGGAGGCCCATATGAGTTCAATGTAGGCCTCCGAGGTTCCACTCTCTCTCCCGTCCCTCTCGACATGCTCTGTCACCAGTCCCAGCACTGAGAAGTGGCTGGAGAGGCCATCGGCCGCCCCCAGCCTTGGGCAGACAGGTGTTCGTTGTACAGAGTCGTCTGCTCTGAAACATGCCAATTGGAAACTGAACTATCTTTTTTTGACCATGTTGAAATTCAGCAGATCCTTCCTTGTGTCCAGCCCAAATCCCTGCTGCTTTAACTCAGATCGGGTTTCCTCCGGCCAGATGGCAGCGTTTTTTCAATGCGAGTCTTTGCCTTTCGCCCGCAGCCCAGAGCATCTTCTGCCCACGGGAGCCTGGGTCCTGGTTCTAGGCCAGAGGCTGTGGAAGTGCCCAGAGCCCGGCTGCCAGGCTGCGCCCCCAGAGTGGGGCGAGGCTGTGACACC